GTGATTTTTTTCGGAAAAAATAATTATATAGTTTTAAATTTGTTTCATTAAAAAAATAGATTTTTTTAGTATTTTCAAATCGGTCCACCTCTTATAATAAAATAAAGCCGTGCGATATAATAAATTGTATAATTCCGAAGGAAAAACGTTACCGATTTTTTTTTGCATGGAGGGTGATGCACCTTAAAGTACATACGAATGTTTCATCGAAAAGCATATTAAAATATCTTTAGGGGATTCACAAGACGTGTTAACCGTCATAAAAACTTAAGCTTAACATTTTTTGTGCGAAATAGCGGTAAAAATGGTTTTAGGGGACTAATAAAATATTTGTTTTTTTTTTATCAAAATTAAAAACATTTCGGCGTAATTAGAAACCCTCTAAAGTAAAAAAAATTTAAGCTTAAGATTTTACGACGTTTACCACGGCTAATTCATAAGCTCATTCGAGAAATTTCAAAAAACAAATTTAAATACAAAAAAATTTTAATGTGTTTCACATGCTACAACTATTGACGTTGAGCAGATCTACGGAACCAGGTACATAAAAAAAAAATAAGTTTCACTCATTTTAACACATTTGCGTGCATAAAATCATTTTCACTTTCAAAGGCGTAACTGATTAATCAACTGCGGGAAAATTGCTATAAAAACAAGCAAAGCAATGTTTTTTTTTTTTGGAAATCTCTTTCGTTTTTTTCCATGAAAGCTGCTTTAGCACTGCGGCTGGAATTTTCTTCATACGCAAATGCGAACCAAAAGTCAACGGTGCGTATAATTTGAGGTGGGCATCAATTGAAAATTTATTCCAAAATATTTAGCTCCAAAATGATTAAATCACAGTTTGTTTGGTTAACCGGTGAACGTAAATGGTAATCGGTTTATACTTTTATATATATTTGTATGTATGTGTGTCTATATACCTATTTCCATTGAAGTATAGCGAAACAGATATCCGATTTAATTGTAACAACAACAGCTTCGGCAACACGCAATTATTAGCAAATTGAAAAAAAAAAACTTTGTGATAGCTGCAATACAAATGTGTATGTCTATGTATGTTTGTTTGTAGCCTATGTATATATGTTTTTCAGTAGGTGCTTTCAGGTAGCTGAAGCGCTATTCATATCTACGCGCAACTGACGCTTTGTTCAATGTCCAGCAAGCTGATGTCATAATTTACTTTTACCAAACTTGTTTCTTTGCTTATTTTCATATTCTCTGTTTGTTTATTTAGCATTTCCTATTTCTTCTTACTCGTTTTCTTCCTCGTCATTGGATTTATTTGCCGCTTAATTGCCAAAATTTATAAATTTGTGACCAAAACGTCATTGTGGAGTGGAACAAAAGCTTGGTGGCGAAATTCAAGTCAAAATGTCTGTTATAAAATCTAGTCAAATATCTTCGTTACTTGGTAAGTAAGTAGGTAAGTAGTAGAGCTGTATTGTCCTGTATGTATATTCATAACCACTATAAGTCAAGAGAAGTGGATAGAAAATCATAAAAAAATATTGGAATTATTTTAAACAGGGCCTCGAAAGTGAATGAAGTGTTTTCGTTCTGAATGTTTACTAAGTTGAAGACCTCGAACTTGCTAGGATTGGAAAAAATCTTTCGTGAATGATAAGAATCGATGGATTACCTAGATTAGACTAACAATAGGGGGCCAATTTATGTTGCGACAGTTTGGTGTCACTGCTTAACATTCGAGTACTTAACAACCTTTTAAGGCAGTGAAGAAGAATTTCAATACTTTACGCTCATTTCCATTTGGTTTCGTAACTAAGGAGAGGTAAAAATTTAGGCGAAACGCGACTATCAGCATAGTAAAGCTCTGTACACATCGAAAACGACATCACCACATGACAGGGCATTAAGCTTTCATCAACATTATCTAAACGCTTTGTCGACGGAGACATGCATTTTTTGAAAGCGGCAGCGACATCATGAATTTGTTTGAGTTTGACATAAAAATAGGAGGAATCTTATCAGTCGCTAAAAAAATAGAAATAGGTCTAATCTGATTATATCTAAATTTTTGGCTAGTCGCGATGTTGCCGTGTTAAAATAATTTGACAGCTGTGGCCTGTAGCCCGTCATTTCTAATGTGTTTCAGACTTAAGACGATCCAATGTACTCATTTCATTTGACAGAATCCTCCAGCAATGATTAGTATTCCTTAGAATTATTTATTTTTGAGAATTTATTTAAGGACTTCGACGCATAGTTACAGTCGAAATTCGACCGTTCTTATAATTCTTTTAGGGATACCGAATTTTGAAATCAAAAAACTCTCTTGAAAGAGGCAGATACAAAAAAAAATTAACAAAAATTAAATTTTTTCTTTGCGTACGTATTCATTCCCTCCTTCGCCTTCGAATTAGTTTTCTTATTCGTATTCTCAGTCTTTTTCATAATCGCCTTAGTGCAAGTTTTCGTCCTTGTATTCGCATTCATCCACGTTTTCATATTCCTGTTCGCCTTCTTCGTCGTCTTTATCTTCGTCTTCGCCACCGCCCTAGCTTGGTCCTCATATTAGTTTCCGTCTTCGGATTCCCCTTCGTCTTAGTCCGAGTACCAAGGATTTGTCTTTGTCTTTGTCTTCGTACTACTGTTGGTATTCGTCTTCTCATTCTTGTTCGTCATCCTAGTTACTTTCTTATTCGTCTTAGTGTTCGCATTAATCATCATTAATCGCGTTCGTTTAATTGCAATAGCAAAATCCATTCATTTCCGAGCAAATACCTATTAACTCGAAATTGCAATAAAAATTTTCTAATAGCTTTTGCTAATTTTCATCTGTAAATTATTATTTCTTTTTTATAAATTCCAGCCAAATAGCATTACATGATATCGCACTTTGCCCTAACAATGCATATGTATTACATACTTGTACATACTTATTTCTACGTAACATAATCCAAATTAATATTCCCAATCAAATACGTTTGCCATTCGTGGTATTTTACAAAGTATGGGAATAATAGATAGTATATATATGCAAATACAATTTACATATGCCTACGTGAAAGTATTCCAATAATATGCCGACTAATTTATTTTAATGCAATGTGAATGTCACATTTGGAGTGGCATTTAGTTTAGGAATTTTTATGACTAACGCTAGACAAATAAATAACTAAACTAAGTTATAAATCTCTACAAATAGGTACATATGTAAGTATGTATGTCTAAGCAGTGCTGCAAGTAGGTATCCATGTGTTTCGCTTTAGTATATCGCTAGTTTAATGAAGAATGATGATAATGAAAATACCTGCTTAAAGCTTAAATAAATATGCAAGCGACTAAAAGTCTAACGACCGACCATCAAATAAATACCAAGCATTATTAAATCAAATACAGATAAGAACCCCAAATGTATTTCGGCTGTACCAACAGATAAACTGAATAGATGCTAAGATAGTTGCGGAGATAAGACCTCGTTTATACAAGGCACTTCTTTAATTAATTAATTAATTAATCCCAACGGCTTTTTACCCTCCATTCCCGCCCAACCGACACGACGGGCGCAGTCCGCATGACGTACGGAACCTTTTTTTTT